TTCGTTTTGTTAGGAATTGGAGCATCCCCTTATACTAATCCATGAGAAGAAAATATCAGATATGAGCTCACTGGTGAAAATATTGGAGCTAGCAATGGAGGTGGCCAGGAAAATCATTGAATATGTTGATTTGCAATTAAATTTTGGTAAAATAATAGTTTAGAGTCTTCTCATTTGCTAGTTTTCTATTTGAATTTTGAACAGAAGCATAGGCCACTCCTTGTTGTTGCGGAGGATGTTGAGAGTGAGGCTCTGGCTATGCTTATACTCAACAAGCATCGTGCTGGGCTTAAGGTGATTATGTGTCTATTTGTACTGTTTTGTACTTTGTACTTAATTTTGTGTCTACTGGCTTTCCACATTCACAAAGTTTCTCGTGTTTTAGGTTTGTGCTGTAAAAGCTCCTGGTTTTGGAGAAAATAGAAAAGCTGGTTTAGATGATCTAGCCATTCTTACGGGAGGAGAGGTGAATATTCTACCCTCATCTATTTTTCAGATATTGTGCAGTAGATTTGTCCCCTCTAGTTTTTAATAAGGATCAAGGAATTGTGTCGCTGAGGTCTAGCATGTTGGAATAGAGCTTGTTATGTGTCGTGTGAATATTAATGATGTGTTCAAAAGCAGGTCATTACAGAAGAACGAGGTTTGACTCTAGATAAAGTCCAGCTAGAAATGCTTGGTTCTGCCAGAAAGGTCTGTGGTTGGAAGCTATATAATGAGTTTTAGGCTCCCCGGACGTAAGTGCCTAACTAATTTAAGGTGCAACAGGTTACTGTTTCTCTTGATGATACTATTATTCTACATGGCGGTGGGGATAAGAAGCTCATTGAAGATAGATGTGAGCAGGTAGGATTTCTCATAAAGTGTTGTTTTCTTGAAATAGCATGAGATTTTTTATTATACTTCCACCTAAATGATCGTCTATATATCTGTTAAGTGAGGTGACAGGGCATATTTATATCTTCCGCAAACAGAAATGACCCTTTCTGAGAGCAGTAGAATATCACCTACAGCCTACAGATGTTACTTAATATGTGCTCATCCGGATTTAACTGAAGAAATGTTTTCTCTGCCCTCCCTCCTCTCTTTCTACTGTTTCCTCTTTGATTGGATATGCTTCCTATTCTCTTCGTAACTTGAAGATGCTCCCTTGTTTTGTTTTGTTTGTTTGTTTTTTTTTTTTTTTTTTGGGCCGGGCATCTCATGATGTTTAAAATGTGAACATTTTTAGCTCAGGGCAGCAATTGAAAAGAGCACTGCCACATTTGATAAAGAGAAAGCACAGGAACGACTATCAAAGCTTTCTGGTGGTGTAGCTATTTTCAAGGTTCGTCTCATAGCCTTATAAATTCTGTTATAATAATAAATATGTTTACCTTATTCCCACTTGGAAATGGAACCAAACCTTTTCAGGTTGGAGGGGCTAGTGAAACAGAAGTTGGGGAAAGGAAGGATAGGGTAACTGATGCCATAAATGCTACAAGAGCAGCCGTGGAGGAGGGAATTGTGCCAGGTGACTCATTTTGGTTCCTTGCTGTTTGATCGAAAAGTACACAGAAAGAGCCGAGCAGCATATGCAATTTGTTCTTGTTCCCTTTCTATAGAGATCTTTCCATTTATTTTGGTTAAAATGTAATTTGTCTAATCAGGCGGTGGAGTTGCTCTCTTATATGCGAGTAAAATATTGGGCAACCTTCAAACCCGAAATGAGGATGAGAAGAGAGGAGTGGAGATAATTCAGAATGCACTTAAGGTTGTTTCATTGGCTAAATACTTCCTCTTTGGGCATTCTAGATTAAATAATTACTAATGAATCATATTGGTCTCTGCAGGCACCTGCATTCGCAATAGCTTCTAATGCTGGTTTTGATGGTGCTTTAGTTACTGGGAAATTGTTGGAACAAGACGATGATAAATTTGGTTTTGACGCCGCTAAAGGTTTGTACTCTCAGTTGTTTCCAATGTGAAACCATGCGGAACCCTAATATGGTTATAACTTTCTCCTGCTAGTATTTTTCAGAACTAAGAGATATGCGTGCTCTATTGCTTGTTCTCAAAGTGGAATTACTTCTGTTGGTTTAAGTACATTGGCACAATCCTAGTTATTATGATGATGTTTTATGTTTGCTATGAAGTTTTTTGAGTAGCTCTACTCTTGTCCTAGGGTTGGTTTCAAGTCATTATTTGTTGCTTTTTGGTAATTAAAGGTTATGTTGCTGTGTGCTGAAGCAGGTGTTTATGTTGACATGGTGAAGTCCGGAATTATAGATCCTCTTAAAGTTGTCAGAACAGCATTGGTTGATGCTGCCAGGTGAAATTTTAGCAGTGCATAACCATTTTCTACCCATGCATGCGCATGTTCTTTTGTTTTATTTTTTTTTCCCCTCCCTATTTTTGAATTGGAGGGGCAAGTATTAACGGTTTGAGGTGACTAGTGGGATTGAACTTGAATCACACGCTTGTTGAGGGAGTTTTCATGTCACTGGGCTGCATAGCTATTGGCTAATACATATATTATGAATTTCTGTCTGTCTGTCTGTCTCTCTGTCTCAATTAAATTTTGCTGTTGTAAATGCAGTGTGTCCTTGCTGCTGACAACAACTGAAGCGTCTGTGGTGGATGATACGACTGGCCCAAATAAACCTCCAAAGCGTGTGGCAGATATGGATGAGTTGGACATCTAACTTGGTCAAACCCATTTTTGAGAAACATTTTCTGACTCTGAACTCGCCCCCGAGATCGAAAGCTCTGTACTTCATTTACAGAGCCAGGGGGTCCATTCTTGATTCTTTCCTCCATATTTTGAACTCATTGCTGCGAAACCTGAAGCTCTGTATCCACCATGTGTTGTCACAAATAGATTTAATGATTGAGTCCATAGAAAACATGATATTATAATATTACATTAGCGGGAAGTTCCCTTTTAATTTTTGGAAATATATCTTGTTCTTGAGATTAAAAGATATGACTTCGTTTGCACTGCAAGCTGTAGGTATTGTCCTATCAAGTTACGTATAAACACATTTACCATTTATGTAATATAGTAATTATTTCAAATATGTGTCTGGTTAATAAAAATTTAATAAATGAAAATAAATGTATTTTTATAATTGTTCAAGTGGTAATAAAATTAATATTTCTTCATTCTTTTTTACTTTCAGATAGATAACGCAGTTTCACACTTAGCATCATAGTTAAAATGTATATTGGCTTGCATATTTTACATAATCAATAGAATGTATATTGGCTTGTGGTTTTTAAAAGTTTACTGATATCTCTATATTTTTAACTATTAAAGAAATAGATAGGTTGCAGAAATATGCAATACGGTTGTAAAATGTACAAAAAAGGCATCACTTACCAGAATATGAAACAAGAGTGTTGCAATTCTTTTTTTTTTTGGATTAAAATGATGTTACAATTATGTATATGTGCATATAAAGACGTTACCAAAAATAAATATTCACGAAATTATGTGAAATAAAAATAGGACAAAAATGAGAATGAGACATTTAGGGCTTGTTTAGTTTCTTATTTTGAAAATAATTTTTTGTTTTTAAAAACAAAAAAATGAAAAAACTTGTTTAGCAATTTGTCTTTAGTTGATTGTTAAAAAAAAAAAAAATAACATGTTTTTAAAAACTGAAAAACCAAAACAACTTTTATATTTTTTTGTTTTGAAAAATTCGAGAAATCTTTTTCTCTTCTCCCCTACTACCTACTACTTATCACTATCAGTGATAACTACTACTTGTCAAAGTATAATTTTTATATTGTTTTTTCAAATTTGATTTTTTAAAAATTATTTTTGAAACAAATTTTTTTGTTTTTATTTTCAAAACTTGTTCTTAAAAACAATTTTTGAGAATAAAAAAATAAAGAACAAAAACAAATAAGCCCTTAACTTTGATTTGCTATTTTTTGAGAAAAAAATGGAAGGAATAGAATAGATTATATGTTATCAAATGTTTTTTTTTCTTTTCGGTTTCTTTCTTCTGTTTTTTTTTTTTTTGTGACAATTTTTCTTTCGGTTTTTATGTCATGGTCTGCCAATTGGCGGGGAAAAAAGATCATTTTCTCTCTTTATTTTGGCGCCAAATAAAACAGCTAGTAACCTAGCGACATATCAAATCTCACATAGAAACAAGAAGAAAGAAGGCTGGGGAGTGGGAGATTGGATCAATGGCTTCGAGTGAGGTGGAAGGATTATCGCTTCCTATAGACGATTATGAGACCCTGCTTTCCACCACTGACGTTGAGCTGCTCAAGAGAGCATGGCGCAACGAGAAGGCAGCTCCTGAGATTCTTCGTTTTGAGACCGATTTAATTGTCCGCATTAGAGAACAGATCCAATTAATGGTATTTTCAAACCCTACTAATCTTTATTTGGTTATTTAAAACTTTGAATTTGAAACAGAAATTATCCAGATTCTGGGTATCAATCCGGGCGTGCCCCTAAAGCCGAAATTTTCAAAATTGTTAAATGATATTGATGTTTTCTTCCTATCTTTCTTTGCTTATGATTAATATCAATTAAAAATGGCATTTTAGTGCATAAAATTTTCGTCTTTGCAGCTGAAACTTTGAAATGAGTCTTAGATGGTGTTGTCACTGTTAAAGGCAGTGTATCTTCGAGATTAATCTCGTCGTTTTGAATTCTCGATGCTATTTTACTTTTCACGAGCAAACTAGCTAACATTACGGTACTTGAAATGTTAAATACATTAGGTCTCCCAGGATTAGTGGGTGCAGAGTTACCACCCAAAAGCAGCAAAGCCATTGCAACTTGTGTGTCAGTTCTTTCATGGTTGGTCATTTGACAAAAGTGTGCTATGATTTTCTTAGGTTCTAATTCCCGCACTTGTTGATTTATGGACTAAAGCTGAATGGGTTTTAACAATTCAAGGATTACATCTTCAGAGTACTCCTTTTATTCACCCTTACCCTTTTTGGTGCTCATTTTCCCCCACTTTCATTTTGGGCAGGAAGAGACAGTGGAGGAGAAATCAGCTGCTGGCATCGATCCCCTTTCAATATCTCTCTATCAGATGGACTTGGATAGAGCCCAGTTTTTACTTAGATCATACCTCCGAGTTCGCATTCAGAAGGTGGTACTTACCTATTTGGTTAGGGGTTATGTAGGTGTCATGTGGTAATTGCTCTTTGTATATTTGGCTGGGGTAAAGAATATACATTTACAGTGTTGCCCCTGTTATTTTTCCCGGCCGATTATTATTTTTTAAATAATTTCTGGATACATAGAAGGTATGGAGTTAACAAAGATTCCTGCAATAATTGTTGACATATTTGAAGACATGTCAGCCAAGAAATAGACTGAGCTAGTCGTTAGACTGTAATTTGTTTGATTTTATAACTGAATTTCCATTGCAGATTGAAAAGTTCGTGTTCCACATTGCGAAAACTGATGAACTGTGGAACAAGCTATCTAAAGAAGAGAAAAATTTCGCTAGAAGGCAAGGCAAATTCTCCTTCTCCCTCTTCCAATTTCATTTCAAACATGTGAACTGAAGGCATGTCTTTTATCTGGTTTTTAAAATAAGCTTTGTCATTGCAGGTGTACTGAAGATCTAAAACAGCACTTGGAGGATAGTGTTCTATCAAAGCTGCCAGAAAATTATCAATCTTTCCAGAAGCAATCTGTAATAAGCGAAGAGGATGACATGAGTAATCCAAAATTTTTATAATTTGGTTTATGCTTTTTTTATCTATAACGTTATCCTTTTAAGATCCATTTAGTTCATGACTATCTGTGAAAGTTGCGTTGCCTATAAATTATCAGTCAGTGCTAGGATATAGTTTCACTGCGGATGTGCATAGTATGTCTTGTATGTTAGCTGGGATGATTAAACCTTGTATCTCAGCAAATACTTTCAAAGGATAGGAATGAGGATATTTAACTCACAGTCTGTGGTTATACTTCGCAGTCCTTGGTTAGGGCTTTGTTGTCCTTTTGCTTGTAGCAGCTTTGCTTCAATAGTGCAAATAATTATCCTTCTAAATGAGATTCTGGACTCAAATATTCTTTTCTTTCCTTCTTTCTTTTTGTTCCTTTAGCCATTTACTTATTACAATATTTTGGATTTGGGACTAGGTTTCTAACGTATGCACATGCCCGCTGTATTGATCATATTAAATACATCTTAGCCTAGTAGCTTCTCTTTATTGTAAGAATGCTATATGCAGTCCATGAGAGCCCCAAAACCTTGCTTGTGTTTGAGCTTTCATGTATTCTGACAGTTTTCATGTCCTTGTGCATGAGATTGTTGTTTATTTAACTAACAGTGATGAGCTCTTCAGATTGGTGCTATCTTATAATTAATGTTTACTTTTGGTCTACATGAAAAAGAGAAAAAAGAATGAAATTTGCGACCAATCTGTCTCAGATTGCTTTTATGAATTTTGTGACAGACTGAAAATTTTCCATCTCTAATTTTCTGTTTTGTTGTAGTTATGTATAACTACTAAGGATCTTTTTGCTACGAATCTATCTTATATATTTTAATATTCTTTTGGCAAATTCATTGAGCTATTGCTTATGGGGTTCTTAGTCATGAGGAGAATTTCTTGGGATATATTTGCTTTGCCACAGAAGTCTGTATATCGGATATGGTGGAATTGGATTCTTGCCGTTGAGAATAATATTCATATCCCAGGTACTTGACTGAAAAATTTGTTGAATGAGACTTTTGTTTTGTATGTTTCAGTTCCAGAAGCACAACTAGACACATTTGTTGTATGCAGAAGCAAAGAATATCTCACAGGCATCCAGCTTGAGGATGGACCAGTGGATGACAGGCAATTCCATAATACACTTTCTTGGTTTTAATTCTTCTCATTGCAAAACTGAGAAAAAAAGGGGTAAGAACTTAAGTTGCTGAGTTGTAAAATTGTAATGGCAGGTCGATGCTGTTTGAGATGGAGCCAGGTGTGCTCTACTTCATATGTTACAAGTCTATAAAGGCACTTGTGGAGAGCGGCAAAATTGATCTTCTCTGATAATTTTATGCTCTGCGAGATTTATTTTATACTGAGATGCTTCCTGTTACTACAGATGCCCACATAATACCAAAGTTTGTTAAAGCTTCATTTTATGTGGTCATGTTCCTGCTCTTTATATGAATGTAGGAGTATGTGGGATCCTTATTGGGATGTATGTATTCATGCATTATTTACCAAGACCTAAATCTTAGTCAAGAAATAGAATGTAAAATTTCAATCATTCTTGCTATTGAATTTGATCGTTATTTTGATTTAATTTTATTGCTGTTGGAATGTGAAAGTTAAGAATGCTCCTTCAGCTCACTATCATAATTTGTCTTTGGAAGTTTTATATTTCAATCTATGTTTTACAAAATTTTAAGAGTAGTTGATACTCCATTTTGCCTAAAATACATACTGTAAAGATGTATCAGAATTAGTTACAAATAATTAATAATTAGATTTTACTAACAAATTGTTGGTTGAGATGATAAGTGACCTCACTCTTTAAGAAAGAGAACACAAGTTCAAATATTGGGAAGCACACTTGTTAGAAGAGGTGAAAGACCATTTGTGTTTTAAGCTTTGAAAGAGAAAACTTTTAATCAAATTAAAAAAATTAATAATTAGATTTTTTTTCATAAATTAGAATTGGAATTAAACTTTAAGATGGTCAACTTTAATTAAGGATAAATTTAAAAAAAATTGAGATATTAACAAACAAAATGTTTAGTACAATTTTTGTCTTTTATAAATTTAAAAAAATATATTTCCTCAACACAAAAGGAAATAGGTAAGGTTAGTAGCAAGTTATAAATATGGCATAGATATAACTTAATAATAATGGCAAAAAAAAGTTATTAGTGGCTTATTAATGAAATTACTTCTCGTTTTAGACGACGACATAAATAAAAAGAAAATTTTAATCAACTTTTTTTAATAAAGATTATTTATTTTTTTATAGATAGAAGGAAAATTGGAAAAACAAGTTTCTACGGTAAAGGTTGGAGGGAGCCGTCGTAAAGTAGTTAAAATATCGCGGCAGTCAAAATATATCTTATAATAACTAACCGATTGGACTTGGGGTGGTGAGAGTGGCTTTACCCGTAATCCTCGAAAGCGGATTCTGTGAAATTTCCGAAATTTGTGGTCTTTAAATGAAATTATCACTCCTGTAAATTCCTTTACTGTTAGCCTCATCGTCCTCCGTAGGCCGACGCGGGGCAGCCGCTGACATCAAAAAGGGGTGAGCTAAAAATATAACCCTTGTAACTGACCTGGTCGCCGGCATTGGGAACATTGAACGGGCGGCTAAGGAGTTGCCGCACTACACCTTCCGGCCTCCTAACCCTGTTTGCGAACTGACCAGCAAGCGGCGGCAAAGCGCCACCTTTTACCGGTAGCTTCGCTGCATTTTCCGAATCTGATTTTCCGGCAGTCCTGCGAATTCATTTGGCTGATTACATATTGGGGTAATAGTCCATGCCAATGGAAAATAATATTTATTTAGCTTTTTGTTCGCTTCTTATCTGGTGATGAACACAGCACTTGTTGGTTTGCTTGAATTGGTGAATAGGGTTCTGCGAAGCATTAATCTATCTTTATTTTATTTTTTGTCTGGGTGTGGACTTTGCACTCAGTTATCCGAATATAAGGTCGATAATGCCATGATATCAACTCATGAGCAGAAGTTGAGATTTTGATAATTTGATAGTAGCAGGGCTCGTATTCTCTAAGGGTGATTAGTTTTGATATGATTGGATTTTAATATGCGAAAGAATTGTCGCTCTGCAATTCTATGGCCAAAAGGATTTTAATAGTTGGTAAACGCAGTAATGGGTGAATCAGAATAGCCTTTATGTGAATAGCAATAATATTGTATTTTCTATAGTTGAAACCTTTCAGTATGTAGAAAAATTTTCTATTCAGTGAAATATTAAATTTAAAATCATATACTCTAGTCAGATGTTGGTCCTTTTCAAGATTGGCTATGTGTTCAAGAACTTCGGCACCTTTTATTGAACGGTCCATCATGTGACAGAAATAACTACACTGAAATTATTAGGACCTCATACTGGGGAAAAGTGGTAGCTAATTAGAATAAGTACTGAATATGCATGAATGACCAGTAGAAGCAGCAACTATTGTAGAGTAGTTAATGAAGACAACCTTCCATGGGGTTGTTTATAACTTTCAGTTGCAAAGGTGTTTATATAGAGGGATATAGGGAAGTAATTTGATAATAAATTTTCTTTGGTTCTAACTATGACCATTGGAGTGAGTTCATTGACATGAATGATTTGTATCTTATTGTAGGCAAGATAATGTTTTCCTTTGGCTATCATCTTCATTCAAAGAAGAAGGACAAGATGAGTTTGAATTTGTCAGTCGGGTGCCAAAGATTTGGTTAATAAATCCTTAATCTTGTCATAACTATGAGACTTCATGCTAAATGCTGCCTATGACCGCCTCATATCTATATCTTTGCGTTACCCAGTGAAGTCTTTCAGCTTGCTGCATAAGCTCAGTTGCTCTAACTACGTAGCCCACACCCATTTCCATAGCCCACAGCCATCATATCAAATCTGCATTACCAGCAATGAACTCCTTGATTTCTTTGATGTCATTGTTCACCGATGCCTTACAGTCCAGCAATCTCAACAAGTTCACACTCAACTTCTTGTTTCTGGTGCTCATCAGTCGGCCTTCTTGGCCGCCAAACTCATAACTGTTTATGCATCTTTTGGGTTTGTCAGAGATGCTCGGAAAGTATTTGATGCGGTCCAAGTTGAAGGTCTTGAAAATCTGCTTTTGTGGAATTCAATTCTTAGAGCCAATGTCTCTCATGGGTATTATGATTATGCACTTAAACTTTATGCTAAGATGCGAAAGCTTGGATTTTGGCCTGATGGGTTCACTTTTCCTCTATTATTAAGGGCTTGTTCGAATGGGCTCACCCCCACTCTGTGCAAGATTGTTCACTGTCATGCTTTGCAAATGGGTTTCCAGAATAATCTTCATGTTGTGAATGAACTGTTGAATATGTATGGGAAGCTTGGGCAAATGGTTGATTCCTCCCAATTATTTGATAGAATGGTTGTCAAAAGCCAAGTTTCATGGAATATGATGGTTTCTGGTTATGCTTCAAACCATGATCCTCGTGGTGCTTGTAAGACCTTTAAGCAAATGGAGTTGGAGGGATTTCAACCAAATTCTGTGACATGGACATCACTGTTGTCAAGCCATGCTAGATGTGGCCTTTATGATGAAACACTGAGGTTGTTTAAGGCATTGAATATGAGGGGAACTGAAATCAGTGCTGAAGCCCTAGCTGTAGTCTTATCCGTGGGTGCTGATATGGGTTCAATTGACAGGAGCAAAGAACTACATAGCTATATTGTAAAGGGTGGATATGAAAATTATTTGTTTGTGAAAAATGCATTGATAGGCGCTTATGGGAAGCATGAGCTTCTCGATGCACATAAGCTATTTTCTGAAATAACGAGCAAGAATATAGTAAGTTGGAATGCTTTGATATCATCATATGCTGAATGTGGATTATGTGATGAGGCACTGTCAGTATTTTTGCAGCTGGAGAAGTCAGATGGTCATCCTCCAGTTAGACCTAATGTCATAAGTTGGGGTGCTGTTATTGGTGGTTTTGCTTCAAAAGGGCGTATTGAGGAATCCCTTGAGCTTTTTAGAAGAATGCAGCAGGCCAAAGTAATGGCCAATTGTGTGACAATCTCCAGCATTTTATCAGCTTGTGCAGAGTTAGCAGCTCTGAACCTTGGCAGGGAAATCCATGGTTATGCTGTTAGGGTTCTGATGGATGATAATATTTTGGTAGTAAATGGCTTGATTAATATGTATATGAAGTGTGGGGGTTTCGAGGAAGGGCATTTGGTGTTCGATAACATGAAGGGTAGAGACTTAGTCTCTTGGAATTCATTAATTGGTGGCTTTGGTATGCATGGGCTTGGCGAGAATGCATTAAGAACTTTTGATGAGATGATTAAGTCTGGAATCAAGCCAGACAATGTCACTTTTGTTGTTGTTCTTTCTGCATGCAGTCATGCAGGACTTGTTGAGGAGGGCCGCAAGCTTTTTGACAGGATGGTTAAAGAATTTAAAGTTGAACCTCTGATAGAGCACTATGCATGTATGGTTGATCTTCTTGGCCGTGCTGGACTTTTGCGAGAGGCAAGTGATATCGTTAGAAGCATGCCAATAGAGCCTAATGAGTGTATTTGGGGAGCTCTTCTAAATGCATGCAGAATGCACAGGGATATAGACATTGCAGAAGACGCGGAATCATATATTCTGAGTCTGAATTCAGAAGTAACTGGAAGTTACATGCTGCTGTCAAATATTTATGCTGCAAGTGGAAGATGGGAGGATTCTGCTAGGGTTAGGATCTCAGTGAAGTCAAGGGGCTTGAAGAAATTTCCTGGTCAGAGTTTGATAGAGGTGAAAAAGAAAGTTTACACATTCTCAGCAGGGAATGTTGTCCAGTCTGGACTGGAAGAAGTTTATAGGATGCTCGAGGAATTGGCACTTCAAATGGAGAGTGAAATTTGCGCATCCAATCATGTGCTTAATCAACAATGCATTGATGATGAGGAGTCAAACCTCTTGGTTGTTGCAAACTGAGAGACTAGGTTTTATTTTATCCTATGGCTTTCTCTTGCTGGCACAAACAGTTCACTTTAGAATCTGATGTTTTGGGAAAATACTAGCCCTGCTAGTTCTATCCAAAGAAGAAAGCGGCTGTTTTTATTATTTTCATGCAAATTGAAACGTCATCCTAAGAAAATAAGACACAGAACTTTGGAGCAACACCTGGGGAATTTTACATTGGCAGATGAGATCAATTCTTAGTAGCTTATGAGATGCTTTATTGAATGTCAAAAGGAAGGGAATTCCTAGGGCTAGAGGTTCGTTGAAGATGTTTGAAGAGCATCTCCTTCACATTATCTCGTGTGTTTTATGCCTCCGCCCTCCGCTGATATTGAAACCAGACAGGGAGATGGTTTTAGTTTACCAATTGTACGCTTTTGCCATAAAGGCCGTGTGTGCGTGTTTGTGTTCTTCTAATACCTGGCGCTTTCTGTTCTTTCTCAACTGCCTGGATTTTTTACTGGGGCAAACACTTGCAGATATCTTGATGCTGGTTTGAATGCCATGGATTGGCTGGGTTTTTATTTCTACAGTCGCTTACATTTTAGATTACCTTGTAGTTCTCTGAAAAGCAATATTCTGATTCGATAGAAGTATTTATGCCTTTAGGCTGATAATTTGCCAGTCCAGAAACATATTCAATTTTTCTGAGAAAAATAGATAAAAACCTTTCTGTGAGAATTAAGTACGCATCAGTTAGCTAGTTTCTTATACTTGACGAATAGTTTTCTCCAGGCCTAACAAAAACTCCAATAGCCTTTGAAGAATGAGTAGTGAAGGAGGGCACACTGTTATTTATTCTATAAAAATGAACAAGAGTTTCTCTACAGGAAGTGGTAACTATAGCCGCCCAGAAGCACTGTTGCTTCCTATCTTAGAAGTAGAAGAAAAAGGATTGCTGCAAAATTGAGACTTGAAATATGGTGTTTCCGAGATAAGTATGTAAAATGAGTCTTGTCTCAAGTTTCGTGAATAAGTACTTTTGGAGATTCTGATTGTGATCTCAAACAAGCACTAAGTTGTCAGGTAGTACAATTTGTGAGAGTGAACAAAGTTGCAGCACCTTTGAGATCATGATCTTGATCTTGTTGAATGCAATCAGCCTCTGCTTTTAATACTGAATTTTCTATCTTGAACAAAACCCCTTCTTCTTCACTGCATATTTCGGTCCAACAACTCCTTTACGTTAGAATTATGCAACAATAACAAATTTGGCAAAAAATTCAGAAAACAAGCATGTCACTAGTTCTTATTATTATCTGCTTCAATGCTTAGCTTTTAGCTTTCAGCATTTGTCGAATTTTGTAAATAATAAATTTGACGTGTAATTTTTTTGATTCACTGCCCTCTGAATCTAATAATTTATTAATAAAAACTATTGCAAATCTTACTTGTATAAAAGTTTAGTTATTTTTTCAAAATGAAAACATTCAAGTACACAGTGCTAATGTTTAGAAATCTAGATGCAGTCATTGAACATGTAGTAATTAAATTAATGTATGTTTAATTCGAATGTTAAAATATAATGCAGATTAAAAAACTTAATAATAAATTTCACTACTTAACATTCAAATCCATACAAGATACTTCATCATCACGGTACTCATCAAGTAAATCCATACTTATTTATATTTTGTATAAGAATAATTCTCATATAATGTTATGGGAAGAAAAGATGTATGGAAATGATAATGCCACTTTGCACCAACAGCCACTTGGAATTGGTCAAATAAGTGACTGTTTCTTTCTTTCTTTCTTTCTTTTTGGCCAACGAGGCTGTTCAAAATCACTAGTTTTGCAGTATAATGGTGAACTGGTTTTATTTGCACCAGTTCATCAGTTTTTGGTTGAATCAACGTTGTCAATAACAAGTATAGGATCCTCCACGAAGAGAGTTTATCAGGTCTAAACTCTCAAACAAACTTTACTATTTTTTTATTACTATTGTAAAGCACATGATATTCAATTTTAGATCTTCAAGAAACAAAATTACAACTTTATGGGATTATATATATCCCCCCCCCCAACTTATATTTAATGCATTTCCAAACCAACCTTTGCTTTTTGTTTCTTTTTTTTTTTTTAACTTTAATTTAATGAATTACGCTACATGATGCTTATTTTGAAATAATGCTCAAACATACCAACGGAAAATTAACAACATGAGCTAATATAGCCCAAAATAAGTATGACTTGAATGTACGTAGAGCACATGTTTCACTAATATAATTCTCAAAAATCACAACCTAATTATTGTAACAATTAATGAACTAAATAAACCAGACATTACACCGCTTGTACATATATAAGGAAGAGCGTTTGAAGCTTCAAAATTGCATGTATATATCTCATTAATCATCAAGGGTAGATCACTAAAAGAAAAGCTAATCTAGAGAAGGGAATTGAAAAGAATATAAATTAAACTAAAAAATTCATCTGGTAGAAAGAAAAGCTCAGCTATTTCATCATATTTCTTGACATTATTCCACCCTATTTAAAGCAAACATTTCACCTAAATAATATACTAGCTTGACACATTTTTGCCGTGCCACTCGTTTTCATTCCAAAATAAAACTCCCAAACACTTATATGGCATGCAAAGGCTAAAGTGGGGTTATCTTGGCAAAGAGTTCATGCTCAGACTTACTGGATGCTTTATTAGAAGAACAGATGTTGCAAAGTTTTTAATGGAGAGGATAACAAATTAAAGAAAGGTATATTTTGTTTTTATCCACATAGAACTGTACTTAAAGGCATGCTAGGGAAGAGAAGAATAAATCAAGCTGACGATGATCACATGAGAAATGGAGAAAACTAGACACTGAATAGGTTATATATGGTTCAATTAATCACACGATGGTGGGCTATATACTATCCCAATACCATCGAAAAATTATGGTAGGCGAAATTGGAGAATTTCTTATGCTCATAATCTGGATATCCATTCAAATGTTTTATTGGATCTGCCTCTTGAATGCGAAGTATTAATGATACACAAATTATTATTGTTATGGTCTTCCCTAGATTCGATCTAACTGATGAGTTCTTTTGGGCTTACGCCTGCTCATTTATATTAAAGGGGAAAAA